AACAGGAGAGGGACTTGGTTTGCTATAACCCTTGGATAGGGTTAGGGCCTATAGAAGGAGCAGAGGTGCATGATGGGAGCTGTAGTCTCCCCCTGGTGTGACCGCTGTCGTCTCCCTGCAGAACCTGATGGCCAAAGCGCTGTACGACAACGTGCCGGAGTCCCCAGAGGAGCTGGCCTTCCGTAAGGGCGACATCCTGACCGTCATCGAGCAGAACACCGGCGGCCTGGAGGGCTGGTGGCTCTGCTCGCTGCACGGCCGGCAGGGCATCGCCCCCGGCAACCGCCTCAAGCTGCTGATCGGCCCGCTGTTCGAGGCCCAGCCGTCCGCCGCCACGACCACCACGCCCCCCCCCGCCGGCGCCCAGGGCCCCCACCAGCGGGCCCCCCAGCAGCAGAGCATCTACCAGGTGCCTCCAGGGCAGGACGTCTACCAGGTGCCCCCCACCAGGAGCACGCCGGCCTCAGACTGCAAGGTGGGAGCCCCCCCCCCCTTTTCCCACAGGCCAATTAACTAATTAACTCCTTACATAAGATGAATCAGCAAATGAAATAAAATGGGTTCAAAGTGCTTCACAAAGAGTTTGAAAGCAGAAAATAGATAAAATGATTAAAAAAAGTAAATGAAATAGGTTCAAAGTGATTCACAAAGAGTTTGAAAGCAGAAAATGATTTTAAAAAGTAAATTAAATAGGTTCAAAGTGATTCACAAAGAGTTTTCAAAGCAGAAAATAAATAAAATTATTTAAAAAAGTAAATTAAATAGATTGAAAAGCTTTACAAAGAGTTCAAAAGCAGGAAATAAAAGTAAATTAAATAGAATATATATATTATATATAGATATTTTTTTTAAATGTCCACAATAATATCCTGTTAAAAAGGAGCTGAGACTGAAAGTGAGAGCCTTTCATTTGCTCCTGGTTGGCTGCCCGCCCCCCCACAGAGCTAAGAAAGGTGCGTCCGCCCCACTTCCTGCTTCCTCCTGTGACTTGGGGGTCAGAGTTCAGCTCTTATCTGCTCCAGCCTCCCCGGCCACAAAGGCTCGGCGGGCCGGGGCAGAACCAGGAAGTGCTCCGGTGGCCGTTTATGGTGGTTTATGGCCACTCTGACGGGCTCTGGGTGCCCAGGTCGGCACACAAAGGGCCTTATGAGGACACTAATGGCAGATGGGAGGCAGCAGAGCTTGTAAATCAGCAGCTGGAGGAGGAGGACGAAGATTAAACAAAAGAAGAAGAAGAAACAGAAGAAAAAGAAACAGAGGAAACAGAAGAAGAAGAAACAATAGAAACAGAAGAAACAGAAGAAGAAATGGAAGTAGAAACAGAATAATAAGAACAAACAGAATAAAAGAAGAAACAGAAGAAGAAGAAACAATAGAAACATAAGAAACAGAATAATAATAAGAAACAGAATAAAAGAAGAAACAGAAGAAGGAGAAACAGAAGAATAACAACAAAAATATCAAGAAGAAGCACCTTGGCCCTAAATTTGGCCTCCAACGTGCCAAAAAACTGAGAAAACCAGGAATGATTTGGTTTAGGAGGCAGCAGGGAACTCGCTTTCTGGGTCCAATGGGGGCTGAAATATTTCCCCCAATCGGCCTTAAAAGGTCCCCAGAGGCCAATCAGCCTCCAGAGGGACGTGATCAGCAGCCAATCAGCTGCTTGGATCCTTCAGCTGATCCACCAAAACCCCAGATGTGTCTGCTCCGGTCGGTTTTCTGGGAAACATCTGGCTGCTCCTGGTCAGGCTGATGAATGGCGTTCCCTCCATACCAGGAACTCTCTTCCCCCTGTTCTCACCTTCTTACCTCCCTCTTCTTCCCTATGTTCTCTCCATTCCTCCCTCTTCTTCCCCCGTTCTCTCCATTCTTCCCTCTTCTTCCCCCTGTTCTGTCCATTTCTCCCTCTTCTATCCCCTGTTCTCTCCTTTCCTCCCTCTTCCTCCCCCTGTTTTCACCTTCTTACCTCCCTCTTCTTCCCTATGTTCTCTTCTTTCCTCCCTCTTTTACCCCCTGTTCTCACCTTCCATTCCTCCCTCTTCTACCCCCTGTTCTCACCCTCCTTTCCTCTCCTTTCCTACCTCTTCTTCCCCCTGTTCTCACCTTCCTTTCCTCCCTCTTCTTCCCCGTTATCGCCCTCCTTTCCTCCCTCTTCTTCCCCATGTTCCCTCCTTTCCTCCCTCTTCTTCCCACTGTTCTCACCTTCCATTCCTCCCACTTCTCCCCCCTGTTCTCTCCATTTCTGCCACTTGTGACCTTTTTCCTGCCGTTTTCACCCCGTTTCTGCTGCTTGTTGCTGTTAGGATGTGAACTCTGGCCTTACAGGAGGAGGAGGTGTTTCAGGGTCTGGAGGAGATCTGGAGCCTCTGCCAGGAAGCTGAGCGTCCTGCTGGTGACCCAGCTCCTTCCAGAAAGGGGGGGGGGGAGTCCTGAGCAACATTCCTGGCATTCCCGGCATTCCTTCAGCCTGTCTGAGGCTCAGGAGGAGGCCCGAGGCCCCCCACCCCCCCCTCAGGGTGGCGGGGGGGTTAGACGCCGGCTCCCATTGACGGTGTCGGCCCGATTCTGTAGCTGGAAGCCTGAGAATACACCGGAAAACGGATCAAATATGACATTTATTGGACACAGGAAAAGTAAACCAGCTGGGCTTTAACAGACAAAGCTCCTGACAGACTGACAAGTGTGAGAGGGCTTTAAATAATAATAATAATAATAGATAGCAGTGACTATTTCATAAAGAAGGCGCATCGGATTATAAGGCCAATCAAGTGGGAAAAAAAAACAACCTTTATTCAATTTATTTACTATAAAAAAATATAACAAATATGTAATAAATATAGTAATATATTTATTATAAATAAACTCAATTCATTTATTATAACTCTTAACACTCTTTACGTGTAATTCATGAAATACAAATCAAACTCAATCATTTCAATAACTCAACATTTTTCAGTTGTTACTCATGAGATAAAAAGTCCACTGACTCATCAGTTCTTTCCTCTCCCACAAATTCTTCAAATTCTTCATCATTCGTGTCTGTGCTTCCCTCTGGTCTGAGTCCGAGTCGGTCATTCCTCCATTTACGGACCATTGAGTCGTTAATATTAGATTCTCTCACAACCTTTAGGTTGCACGTCTCCTCACAGAAGCCATTTTGGGGTCATTAAATATTCACAACAATATTATGGTACCTATATGTCTGTCAGCCCAATTCTTTAGCTGGAAGCCTGAGAATAAACCAGAGTAGATCAAGAGTACAAATATGGCATTTATTGGTCACAAGGAAAGTAAATCAGCTGGGCTCCGACCCATAAAGCTCCCTGAGGATCTCAGTTGGCCACAGCCTCTATTTCTGGGTGTGATGGACATTTATCTTCTGGGCTGGTTCTGAAAGACTTGACACAGCCGAGTGTTATTGTCCAGTTAGCTCTGACATGAACAGGCCAGCTGCTAATTCATGCAGATTTCTCTGGAATGTGATAAGAAAGTGTTGATGTTGTCCTTGAAGACGAGTATCTACAGTAACAGAGAGAAGGAGAATCTGTGGGCTCAGCCAGAGAGTTTAACACAGAGTCTAGTTCTAAAAGGAATAAGACAGTCAGTCATTTACATGGATTATGTTAAAGCATGCAATGCTTAAGTGAGTAACTAGAGCCCAGTTCTAACTGCGGGAAGAGGTGGCCAAACATTTACAGGGTCAGAAATGTCACCCCAGTGAGAGCAGAGGTGTTTGTGCTCGTTTTCCGACTGTTTGTCTTCCCGCCATGGTGGGAAATGCCTGAGAGATGCCGTAAATCCTGCTGATAAACAGCCCCCTGAGCGGGTTCCTCATCGTGACCCATGATTCCTTCAGCAGGTGGATTAAAAAACTCCTCCAGCCTGGACTCGTAAATCCTTCTAACCATAAAACCACCTCATATTCACGTTTAAATGGCTCGGCTGATGATTTAACCATTGCTCTTTCTATTATTCATTTTACTCACTGACTTTTACTAGTTTTAAATATTTAAACTGCTGTTTTTTTTTTCTTTTTTCCATATTATCTCTTTTTCCATTGAATGTTTTGGCTGAAGTGGAAGATTCCTTTCTCCCATATTTCAAACTGGTGGAAAATCCATCCTTTGCTATTCAAATAGAAAAAGTAGAATTCCTCATAATTCAAATGTTCATTCAGAGGTTTTGTTGCTGTAACCCGTTTTCTGATATGATGATTTTGATGGCTAGTGTTAACAAGCAAGAACATTTTTCCTGCCATTGTGCCCCTTCAAGAATGATTTTTAAGAAAATAAACATGCTGTGTAAGAACAATAAGGAAAAATGAGCATTGATTAAAATTTAATTGCCATTAATTCAAATAAATTCACTATTACTGTTTGTTTATTTTAGTTCGTTTGTGGCCACATCAGGCTAATACTAGCTAACTGCTTTGTGGTTTTAGCACTTACAGGTTTAGGGGAAACGTATGCTTTTATCTAAAACGAGAACAGCTCTACGTAGTACATTCTCAAAGTATTTATAACACTGTTAGTGTATTGATTGTGTACAACAACCAACTTTCCTCTGGTTTGGCTTGTTTTTGAACAGGCTAAAGTTACCTGACTAGCATTAATTAATGGCTAACGTCAGCTAACGGCTAATGTTAGCTAAGGACTAACGGCTTTTGTTTTAACTTCAAGCGACTTAACATTTTTAGATGTTGATATTAAGTACTTTTACTTTTGGTTTACTCATATCATATTTAGTGTAGAAAAGCTGGTTGCTATCTGATTAAGGCTAATACCTCATCCTATAAATCATTTAAAAAAACTTGAAAATGAGTAAACAGTATCGTTTACTGTAAACTGCTTCCTTTTTCTGCAGCTGTCTGTCACACTTTCCGTATTTAGCAGAAGGTTTTTATCACCTTCATTAAAGACCACAGAGCATTTAACCAGTTCCTGTTTTTTCGCCCTGTAATTTCACTAATGGTGTTTTGAGGGGTGTTTTCTTTTTTAAAGAGCTGGTTTAAAGCGTTATTGTTGAGCATCAAGCATCCATCCAAAATGTGCATTGTGTCTTTTTCAAATAACTTTGAAACAAAACATTTAATCATTAAAAAAAAGGACATTTATTCAAAACTCCTGCAGGTATTTTTCAGTGTTTTGCTCATTGTGAGAAGCAGAGTTGGTTGGATTCTTTAAAGCTTCTTTAAAGCTCCCTGGAGTATCTCTCTGCACCAGCAGGCTGTTGTTTCTAGAGCTGGTTTCCTGATGTAATAACTTACCATCCCGGGGTCACCCGGGGACGGGCACTCAGAAACAGTCATAACAAAAGGAAAGGCGGCACAATGAACAGAGCAGCCGCTGGCAGCAGGACTGATTGTAATGTGTTTGTGAGGGGCCAGCGCTGGCTCAGACTAACCCTAACCCAGCTCTCATTGTTGTCTCCATCCCCTCTGTGGCTGGACAGGTGGTGACCCCGGCCAGGGTGGGACAGAGCTACACCTTCAGCCCCGGCCAGCAGGACCTGTACGACGTCCCCCCCTGCAGATCACAGGGGGTAGGTGTCCCCTTACCAATTCAATTCAATTCAGTTTTATTTCTGTAGCACTAAATCCCAACAGCAGGTATCTGACAGCTTTCCAAACAGAGAAGGTCAGACAGACTCTGAGTTATTTACAGGAGAAACAGGGGAGACAAAAACTGCCTTTAGGAGGAAAACCTCAGAACTATGGGGGAGGGAGAGAGGGGGAGGCAGCTTCCACAGTAACACAAACAGACAGTAAAGGTAAAGCTGCTTCAGGCTGGATGAAAAGTGGTAGATATTGATTGTGATGTTTATGGTAATGATAACAGCAATAACAGCAATAGGACCAGGAGCAGTAGTTGTAATTGTAGCAAAGGGAGTCCAGAAAGAAAAGGAGGGGGGGGGCAAGAGACTCTCGACCACAGCTCCAGGAACACCTGCAGGAAGCAGTTTTCAGGCCCACTTTCCTCAGTCGTCCTGATGCTGAACCTAAAAAACCAGCTGTGCTGCACACCGCTCCAAAAAAAAGATCAGCGTCTCCACAAAAATGTGTCAAATCTTTCCCTAGATTTTCGATCTACATTTACATTGCTTTTATCCAAAGCGACTTCCAAAAAGAGGCTTTAACCTCCAGCTCCACTCTGAGCTCAGCCTGATGCTACATGCTAGCAGAGGATTTAGCATCAAGGCTTTAACATCCAGCTAGAACACAGATTCCACAGCTAGCATCCATTCATGCTACATGCTATCAGGAGATAAGAGCATTATACATGTCTTATATCTGATAAATCTAATAAACTGAAGACAAAGACCAAATCACTGGCCTGTTTAGTCCAAACCCTTGGTGCTTATCTTCCTTTTAAATCCCTGTTTCAGGTGTACGATGTCCCCCCCGGGCAGGGGTACCCGGCCCAGTCGGGGGGAGCCAGAAACCAGGGGGTGTACGATGTCCCCCCCTCTCAGATGGACCCCCGGACACAAGGCGTTTACGACATACCCCCCTCCTCACAAGGGGTAAGGCGTACAGCCCTGAGTCGTATTAAATGAATATTCAATAAATATTCAATAAAATAAATGAGCTAAGTTAAAGTTCAGGTAGTGAAAGTTAGAGTAAGTTAGGGTACGTCCTGTTTCTCAGTCTCCACCTCTACCTCCGTTCTTTAGTATCTGAGGTGCCAATAAAAACCCTTTTTATAGATTATTTCTTTATAATTTATTTATTTTTACATCTCTCTTATATAATGCATTTGTTTTATTGCTATGTGTAATTATCTTCAGTATTTATTAAAGAGTTTTGGGCTGTGGAACAAATTATAGGAATAACAGTGTATTCTGATGGGAATATTTGAACCAAAAAAGAATATTTTAACATACGAGGTCGATCCTGGAACCAGTTAAATACGTAGGTAGAGGTTCTGCTGTATTACGTCAGACGGCATATTTCTGGTGTTCCTGTGGCCGCAGCAGATTAGAGCTCTGCTTGCCAGCTTGGCCCAGAGCTCCAGGTCTGCTGGGCTTCCCGGGGCTCTAAGGTTTCAGTAGCCCAGGTCAAAGGTCAAAGGCCTGCTGAACCCCACCCTGTTGGAGGAAGGACTCTGAGGTGTCGACACCCTCCGGCTGGGTTTTCACTTCCTCATTCAAGCTGCTGCTCTGAAAACCCAAGGCAGCGTTTAGGCTGGTTTCAGTCTGCTGATTTATTGGTGTTTGGGACTATAAATACCATGGTTTCATTCCATTATAATAACTGTGGATTAAAAACCTAAGGAGCGACGGGCCTCCCAGTTCAAACTATCACAAGCAGTTAAAGATAGTTTAGATTTATTCTACGGTTTCCAGCCCACAGAGGTTCACTGGGTTGTTTTAAACCCCCCAGTTTGTGCAGCAGCTCTGAGTCCTTAGTGTTTTCCTCCTGTTTGGGTCTGAAAAGCAGCTGGATGCTTCCTGCTCTGCTGGTTAAACTCTGACAGAAACCGGTCTGTGATCACACATCAACATCTGAGTCTCTGATCAAAACTAGAGTCCAGAGAATGAGGCTTCATTTCCTGGAAATGAGCTCTGTTCCAGCATCCAGAAATGAAGGAAACTTTGTGCTGATGAGCTGAAACCAGTCGACTGAAAGCTGGAACTCAGAGCTGTGGAAATACAAAGAAATCAGAATATCTGAAATTTAAACTTTGAATTCCCACCCGAGCTCTGATTCCTACTAAATGAGCTCTATTCCAGCAGATATTACAGACAGAAATGGACTTCCTCCTTTAGAAAGCAGCTGGCAGGAAGTGGGGGGGTCAATAAGACCCAAGAAAGACCCTCTGATGGTTTCCCTCCTCCAGGTCTACTCGGTGCCGCCCTGCAGGACCGCCGCGGCCCTCCAGGAGGGGAACTACGACTTCCCGCAGCCCCTCAAACACAAGCAGGAGGGCATCTACGACGTCCCGCCCCCCCTCGCCGCCATGCCCGCCAGCAGCCCGTCTATTTACGACTTCCCCCCCAGCGTGGAGCCACATCATCCCGTCAATGGCAGCGAGGGCGTCTACGACGTGCCTCCGTCCCAGCGGGACGTCTACGACTTCCCCCGGGGGGCGCCGCCCCCCCCACACCGGGCGCCAGTGGTGGCGGCGGCGGCCGACCTGGTGGACGGCGTGAACCGGCTGTCGTTCTCCAGCACGGGCAGCTCTCGCAGCAGCATGTCCACCTCCTCCTCGTCCACAGGCTCCGCCCCCGAGGCGCGGTTGGGCCTGGACCTGGACGCCGGCGTGCAGCGGCTCCAGCGCCTGCAGCAGGCCGTGGAGCTCGCCGTGGGGGCGCTGCACGCCACCGCCGCCTCCCCCCACTGGAGGACGTTTCCCTTCATGGAGCGGCACGCCAACGACGTGCGGGTCGGCCTGGACCGCGTCCGGGCGGCCGTGGGGGACTTCACGGCGTTCGGCAGAGGAGCCGCCGCCAACGCCGCCGGCCTGCCGGACGCCGGCCTGCACGCCAAACTGAGGCGGCAGTTGGGGCGCCTGGAGGACTCCCAGCAGATCCTGCTGCAGACCCACCAGGCCCTGGAGGCCGGCGGCTGGGCCCTGAACGCCCCGCCCGCCCCGGGGGGGAGGCACCACGCCAAGAGCGACGAGCTGGACCGCTTCCTCATGGTGTCCCGGACCGTCCCCGACGACGCCAAGCAGCTGGCCTCCACCATTGGCGCCAACGCCGAGCTGCTGTTCCGGCGGGCGCACGGGGACGGCGGCCTGCCCGAGGAGGCCCCCGCCCACCTGCTGGCCTCGCCCCCATCCGACAGCGACAGCCACAAGGCGCACACCAAACCCTTCCCCCTGTCGGCCAGCCAGGACAAAGACAACATGAACAGCGAGAAGTGCGTCAAAAGCTGGATGGAGGACTACGATTACGTCCATCTGCAGGTAAGGCGCCGCCTTCTGGATCGGCGAGTCAGACCCCACTGAGCAGGAGGGCTGAGTGCCTCTCTTACCTTCCCCCGACAGGGAAAAGAAGACTTTGAACGACAGCAGAAGGAGCTTTTGGACAAGGAGAACATCATCAAACAGAGTCAAGTTCAGCTGGGCCAGGAACAGGTAAGATTACCTGAGGGTGGGGTCAGGGTTTTAGGGTGGCGTCAGGTCTATAGGGTAGGGTCAGGTCTATAGGGTAGCGTCAGGTCTATAGGGAGGGGTCAGGTCTTTAGGGTAGGGTCAGGTCTTCACGATTAGGCAGGTCTTTAGGGTGTGACCAGGTCTTCAGGGTAGGATCAGGTCAATAGGGAGGGCTCAGGTCTTTAGGGGTCGACCTGGTCTTCAGGGTAGTTTCAGGTCTTTAGGGTTTGGTTATGGTCTTTCGATTGGGGTCAGGTCTTCAGGGCAGGGTCAGATCTTTAGGGTTTGGTTAGGGTCTTTAGGATGGGACCATGTCTTTAGGGTAGGGTCAGATCTTTAGGGTTTGGTTAGGGTCTATAGGATGGGACCATGTCTTCAGGACTGGCGGTTGCCGGTGCTTTTGGGGACCTGCTCAGTCTCCTTTGGTCTTTCCCAGATCAACCAGTTCAGGAAGCTTGAGCAGGAGGTGATCAAACCGGTGGAGAGCGACTTCTCCCAGTGGACGAGCGGCTCGCTATCCGGGTTGCCGTCCGACCCAGCTTCGTCCCACGTGGGCGCCCGGGACCGCCAGTTGCTGGGCTTCTACTCGCAGCAGTGCGAGCAGCACTTCTCCACGCTGCTGGGCGCCGTGGACGCCTTTTTCGGTGGCGTGCGGGCCGGACAGCCGCCGCGCATCTTCGTGGCGCACAGCAAATTCGTCATCCTGAGCGCCCACAAGCTGGTCTTCATCGGGGACTCCCTGTCCCGGCAAGCCGCCGCGCCTGAGTTGGCCAACCGGGTCATGAACTCCAGCAACGTGCTGTGCGACCTGCTGAGGTCGGTGGTCGCCGCCACCAAGATGGCGGCCCTGAACTACCCCAACGCCGCCGCCATCCAGGACATGGTGGACCGGGTGGCCGGCCTGTCGCACCAGGCGCAGAAGTTCAAGGAGCAACTGCTGCAGATGGCCAGCGCCTGATGCGGTCCGGACCCAGACCCAGACCCCGACCCGGACCTGGCCTGGGCCTGCCTGAGGTGGCCCTACCAGACCTGGACCCGGTTCTGACTAGGCCCGGACATGGACTAAGCCCAAACCCGGCCCGAACCGGCGTGGACCGGCCCGACCGGCTTGGAACGGCCTATACCGGACCTGGACTGGGCCCGGATCTGGACTAGGTCTGAATCGGCCTGGACCCAGACTCAGCCCGGATCTGCACCTGGACTAGGCCCAGACATGGACTAAGCCCAAACCTGGCTTGAACCGGCCCGAACCGGCTTGGACCGGCCTATACCAGACCTGGACTAGGCCTGGATCTGTACTAGGTCTGAACCGGCCCAGACCCAGACTCAGCCCGGACCTGGACTCGGCCCGGACCTGCACCTGGACTAGGCCCAGACCCGGCCTGAGCCGGAGAGACTGGCCTTAACTGGACTTGGACTCGTACCCGGTCTGGACTAGACCCGAATTCAGACCCGGTCTCAGACCCAGACCCAGACCTGGCCCATACCCGGACCCAGCCTGGTTCAGACCCGTACCCGGATCCAGACCCGGTTTCAGACTCTGACCCGGACCCGGCCTGTAAATAGCTGCTCTGAGTTTCTTTGCGCCCTGTTTAGCGGCTCCGTTGTCGTGGAGAAGCTTCCGGAACATTCCGTCTCTCTGAGCTCTCTGATTGGTGGACGCTGAGCTGGAACTTGTAACTGTTCATGGAGCCTAAAGTAAAGACTCTTCTTCCCACCAGGCTGCGTCGTCTGTGTTTACTCAAAGGAAACAAACCCAGATTTTGTCGGCCCAACGCGAAGCTAAACGCCACACAAATGTGAGCCGCTTCGGCCACAAAGGCTCATAGAGAGCAGAGTATTTTAAACCAAACTAAAGAAGCTAATTCAAGTCAAATCTGACCGATTTTACGGAAAAAGGACAAGAAAATTGATTTTTAAGCATCAAAAGAAGCTTTTTGGGAGAAAATAAAATGTGAAAAAGGTCATTTTTGTCTGATATTGAATTAAATATTAAAGAAATATGAAGCTCTTTTTAAATAGAGCCTCATAAAGATCAGAGTTTCATAAGAAAATAATTAAGCAAATTCCCCTTAAATCTTACTGATTTTAAAAATAA